AGGGCCTCCAGGGGCTGCAGTCCAAGGTTCTCCGCCAGCTGAAGGGCCTCCAGGGGCTGCAGCCCAGGGTTCTCCGCCAGCTGAAGGGCCTCCAGGGGCTGCAGTCCAGGGTTTTCCGCCAGCTGAAGGGCCTCCAGGGGCTGCAGTCCAGGGTTCTGCGCCAGCTGAATGGTCTCCAGAGGCTGCAGTCCAGGGTTCTCCGCCAGCTGAAGGGCCTCCAGAGGCTGCAGTCCAGGGTTCTCCGCCAGCTGAAGGGCCTCCAGGGGCTGAAGTCCAGGGTTCTCCGCCAGCTGAAGGGCCTCCAGGGGCTGCAGTCAAGGGTTCTCCGCCAGCTGAAGGGCCTCCAGGGGCTGCAGTCCAGGGTTCTTCGCCAGCTGAAGGGCCTCCAGGGGCTGCAGTCCACGGTTCTCCGCCAGCTGAATGGCCTCCAGGGGGTGCAGTCCAGGGTTCTCCGCCAGCTGAAGGGCCTCCAGGGGCTGCAGCCCAGGGTTCTCCGTCAGCGGAATGGCCTCCAGGGGCTGCAGCCCAGGGTTCTCCGCCAGCTAAAGGGCCTCCAGGGGCTGCAGTCCAGGGTTCTCCGCCAGCTGAATGGCCTCCATGGGCTGCAGCCCAGGGTTCTCCGCCAGCGGAATGGCCTCCAGGGGCTGCAGCCCAGGGTTCTCCGCCAGCTGAAGAGCCTCCAGGGGCTGCAGTCCAGGGTTCTCCGCCAGCTGAAGGGCCTCCAGGAGCTGCAGCCCAGGGTTCTCCGCCAGCTGAAGGGCCTCCAGGGGCTGCAGTTCATGGTTCTCCGCCAGCTGAAGGGCCTCCAGGGGCTGCAATCCAGGGTTCTCCGAGAGCTGAATGGCCTCCAGGGGCTGCAGTCCAGGGTTCTCCACCAGCTGAATGGCCTCCAGGGGTTGCAGTCCAGGGTTCTCCGCCAGCTGAAGGGGCCTCCAGGGGCTGCAGTCCAAGGTTCTCCGCCAGCTGAATGGCCTCCAGGGGCTGCAGTCAAGGGTTCTCCGGCAGCTGAATGGCCTCCAGGGGCTGCAGTCCAGGGTTCTCCGCCAGCTGAAGGGCCTTCAGGGGGTGCAGTCCAGGGTTCTCCGCCAGCTGAAGGGCCTCCAGGAGCTGCAGCCCAGGGTTCTCCGCCAGCTGAAGGGCCTCCAGGGGCTACAGTCCAGGGTTCTCCGCCAGCTGAAGGGCCTCCAGGGGCTGCAGCCCAGGGTTCTCCGCCAGCTGAAGGGCCTCCAGGGGTTGCAGTCCAGGGTTCTCTGCCAGCTGAAGGGGCCTCCAGGGGCTGCAGTCCAGGGTTCTCCGCCAGCTGAAGGGCCTCCAGGGGCTGCAGTCCAGGGTTCTCCGGCAGCTGAATGGCCTCCAGGAGCTGCAGTCCAGGGTTCTCCGCTACCTGAAGGGCCTCCAGGGGCTGCAGTCCAGGGTTCTCCGCCAACTGAAGGGGCCTCCAGGGGCTGCAGTCCAGGGTTCTCCGCCAGCTGAAGGGCCTCCAGGGGCTGCAGTCCAGGGTTCTCCGCCAGCTGAAGGGCCTCCAGGAGCTGCAGCCCAGGGTTCTCCGCCAGCTGAAGGGCCTCCAGGGGGTGCAGTCCAGGGTTCTCCGCCAGCTGAAGGGCCTCCAGGAGCTGCAGTCCAGGGTTCTCCGCCAGCCGAAGGGCCTCCGGGGGCTGCAGTCCAGGGTTCTCCTCCAGCTGAAGGGCCTCCAGGGGCTGCAGTCCAGGGTTCTCCGCCAGCTGAAGGGCCTCCAGGGGCTGCAGTCCAGGGTTCTCCGCTACCTGAAGGGCCTCCAGGGGCTGCAGTCCAGGGTTTTCCGCCAGCTGAAGGGGCCTCCAGGGGCTGCAGTCCAGGGTTCTCCGCCAGCTGAATGGCCTCCAGGGGCTGCAGTCCAGGGTTCTCCGCCAGCTGAATGGCCTCCAGGAGCAGCAGTCCAGGGTTCTCCGCCAGCTGAAGGGGCCTCCAGGGGCTGCAGTCCAGGGTTCTCCGCCAGCTGAAGGGGCCTCCAGGGGCTGCAGTCCAGGGTTCTCCGCCAGCTGAATGGCCTCCAGGGGCTGCAGTCCAGGGTTCTCCGCCAGCTGAAGGGCCTCCAGGGGCTGCAGTCCAAGGTTCTCCGCCAGCTGAATGGCCTCCAGGGGCTGCAGTCCAGGGTTTTCCGACAGCTGAAGGGCCTCCAGGGGCTGCAGTGCAGGGTTCTCCGCCAGCTGAATCGCCTCCAGGGGCTGCAGCCCAGGGTTCTCCGCCAGCTGAATGGCCTCCAGGGGCTGCAGTCCAGGGTTTTCCGACAGCTGAAGGGCCTCCAGGGGCTGCAGTCCAGGGCTCTCCGCCAGCTGAATCGCCTCCAGGGGCTGCAGCCCAGGGTTCTCCGCCAGCTGAAGGGCCTCTAGGGGCTGCAGCCCAGGGTTCTCCGCCAGCTGGAGGGCCTCCAGGGGCTGCAGTCCAGGGTTCTACGCCAGCTGGAGGGCTTCCAGGGGCTGCAGCCCAGGGTTCTCCGCCAGCTGAAGGGCCTCCAGGGGCT